CAACTTTACAGTGGAATTGTTTTTTGTAAAACCAATTCCACCAAATATGATATTTAGACCAATAGGATGTGTAATGATTATTCTTGGGAGTGTATATGTTGAATTATTAAAATTTAAATTAAATGGCATAATGTATTTCCAAAAAATAGAAAAATACATAAAAATAGAAAAAGTAGTGTTGAATTATATAGATTATAATTAGTAGAGGTAGAGAAAGAGAGGTCATTCAAAGGTTAACTTTGTGAGCTACATAGCTTCTGCATTATCATTTTCCTTCTTGTTGTTTTCTGATATAGAGTGTTTGATTTTTTTTTTAATGTTCAAAAAAATATGACAGTGCTTTAAGATTTTGTTTAGTCTTCCTGTTCAGTTATCATTAGTTTCAACTAAATAAAATCATTCACGTGTTTCACATTTGATTTTATATGTTATTTCTTTGGTGTCATTTTGATTGGGATAACTTATTCCAGTGATGTCCTATATTTTTAGTTTGTTTGCTTAACTATTTAATATTATGCTTTTTGACTAGACATTTCCATGTTTCAATAAGGGTATTGCTGATATGTTCGATGATGTGTTTGATGCAAGAGATGGTGGTTGTGTTACAGTTTGGTGATCCCTTTTTGGATTGAATGTGTTGTGATTTCTTTGTTTTGCTTTCCTTGATTGTTTTTTCACTTTTTCTTCAAGGTAACCATTTTTATAAAAGAAAATCTCATGTTCTCCCTTGTTCACTGTTTAAATTGTTCAGAGTCCTCATGTCAAGGTTAGAAGTTTTTGTTGGTTGTCCAGTCTGAATGTTGTTCTGAGTGAATTTGTTTCCAATAAACACAGGTGTCAAATCTAATTGATTTTCTAATGGTGTGAACATTCATGGAGAAATGTTTTTCATCCTCAGTGGTAAAGTGGATGTTGGGGTGAGTGTTCTTAATACAATTTAAAAACATATCTTCTCAAGTTCAGAGTCAAAATCACGGAAAATATCCTTTGTATTAGGAAGACATTGTAGGTAAAGTTCCAACCATGCAGAGTTTATTAATTTGGCAGTAGATTGTGTTGTTTAATTCAAAGCAAAACTTTGTTATTAGATTAATAAACTTAGAAACTGATAATATTCTTGGTTGGGCTAGGTTCTTACAAGGATTGACAAATTATAAATGTGATACTAATCTTGGTCGGGCTAGGTTCTTACAGGGATTGACAAAGTAGAAATCTGATAATAATCATGGTTGAGGAAAGTTCTTACAAGAATTGACAAACTGGTAAGAACTTTACTCAACCATGATTATTATCAGATTTTTGATCAATCCCTGTAAGAACCTAGCCCAACCAAGATTAGTATCACATTTCTAGTTTGTCAATCCTTGTGAGAACCTAACCCAACCAAGATTAGTATCACATTTCTAGTTTGTCAATCCCTCCACTCAACCTACTAGGATTAATACCACATATCTAGTGTATCAATCCCTGTAAGAATCTAAACCACTCAACCTACTAGGATTAATACCACATATCTAGTGTGTCAATCCCTGTAAGAATCTAAACCACTCAACCTACTAGGATTAATACCACATATCTAGTGTATCAATCCATGTAAGAATCTAAACCACTCAGCCTACCAAGATTAATACCACATATCTAGTGTATCAATCCCTGTAAGAATCTAAACCACTCAACCTACTAGGATTAATACCACATATCTAGTGTGTCAATCCCTGTAAGAATCTAAACCACTCAACCTACCAGGATTAATACCACATATCTAGTGTATCAATCCCTGCAAGAATCTAAACCACTCAACATACCAGGATTGACACCAGATTTAGACTTTAGATTCTTGCAGGGATTGATACACTAGATATGTGGTATTAATCCTGGTAGGTTGAGTGGTTTAGATTCTTACAGGGATTGATCAAGTAGAAATGTATTAATTGCAATAATCAAGCAAAAATAAGAATTGTAATTCTATTTCAGTGATTTGTTTACACTAAAATATTTTAGAATTGATGCTTTTTCATTTTGTAACTCTTATTTGATATAATTTGCAAAGAAGAATGAAAAGAATTGAAATTTACTCCAAGAAAATAACACAATTAAATTTGTTTAAATTTTTTCTACCTACCGTAAAGCATAGGTATATATTTTTTTTTTAGGAAACTACCATTCCCTAAAATATAATTGTCAGTGTATTGTTTCTCATGAGATTCTCCCTTTTTTCTCTGAATGTTATTACTACAGCCTCAGTTCCTACACTATCACAGCAGATGACTGAACAACTACTAATGAAACTCGGTTTTTACAGATGAAGGTTAGAAACTGTTGGATAGAACAGATTATAAATTATTTGCATCAATGAATAAAATGGTGTGAGAAATAAGACCTAATTTGTACAGAGTAGAACAACTGAATATAGTGGGACGATGAGTGATTTGAGAATTCTTGTATAGTTGCTTTAGATGTTCGTCTTCATTCCTGAAAATTATATTTGTTAAATTATATTTGTTTGAAATATACGATAATTTTATTTTGTGTCAAGATGTCGGGTAAGCCTTATTAGGTTTAGAGAGTAGGGTCGACAACACCAAAATATTCCAGTGACTCAAACCCTTATTATTGTTTTTATTGTCTTCAAAAGCTTATAAATTATTGAAAAGAAAGTATTTTTGTAAGATATAAAAATATTTTTATCTAATATGACTATTGCTATTTTGAAATATCATGTTTTAGGTCACTGGGAAATATTTATCAGTTTCTGTGGTGTTTTTGTGATTTACAGCTAAAAGTGTCGACTACTGCGATCATCAAAGTTAAAAAACAAAATTAGTAGATATCAAACAACTTGAAACTAGAAAATTAAATCAAATTTAAAGTTATTTTTTAAAGCTAAAACTAAATATTAACTATTTACTAAGTATTTCTACTGTGAGAAAGAATGTGAGAGACACTCCTTGGTATGGAAAAGATTAATGTCCCTTTCACTCTTCATGCTTGTATATAAATTGGTAATCAGTCTTTTAACTTTACTCATTCTAAGAACTCCATTTTGGCTTCTGTAGTCAGTTTTGTAATACACATATTTCAGTGTCTTATATTGTTCATCTAGCAGTAAGTTTATATACTGAAGTGTAGAAATCCACGGTCAGCTTCCCCATAGTGGATGTAACCCCTTGTGTAGGTTTGCTCTATAAAACAACCAGTCTGAAACTGTATCTTTCACATAGCAACAGATACATTGTTTATTAGTAGTCACTACATCTCAGTTGTTATAATATATGATTTAGAATAAGGAATACTGCATTACAGTCATTCCTGACCAGGTCAATGATTCTGTTATTGCACCAAGAGAAACTGTGTCATTTGTATAGAAGGTTGGTGCTGATATCTTGCAATTCAGAAGTTAATTTGATAAAAAGTATTAGAAAGTTTGAAATAGGGTCAACATTAAAACTGTTTCTATATATTTTCAGTGGTGAAGTACAAGAAATTATTACACAACATGAAAACAACTCCAGTCAATTTTCTAGTCAACATTCTGAAAAGACAAATGCCCAGTCAGTCGATGAAAAAAAATTAAGTCAAACAGCTACCCTTGGAAAAGAAAAAAGGAAACTACACTCTACGTCGGACAAGTAAGTAATGTGTTTGTAGAAAAGGAAACTACATGCTACACCAAACAGTTAAATCATGCTACTTAGGAATATAAACTACACCAGACGGTTAAATCATGCTACTTAGGAATATAAACTACACCAGACAGTTAAATCATGCTACTTAGGAATATAAACTACACTACACCAGACAGTTAAATCATGCTACTTAGGAATATAAACTACACCAGACAGTTAAATCATGCTACTTAGGAATATAAACTACACTACACCAGACAGTTAAATCATGCTACTTAGGAATATAAACTACACTACACCAGACAGTTAAATCATGCTACTTAGGAATATAAACTACACTACACCAGACAGTTAAATCATGCTACTTAGGAATATAAACTACACTACATCAGACAAGTAAATTTTTACTAGGAATGTATACTACTCTACACCAGACAGGTGAATTGTTATTAGGAATGTAAACTATACTACACCAGACAGGTGAATTGTTATTAGGAATGTAAACTACACTACACCAGACAAGTAAATTGTTATTAGGAATGTAAACTACACTACACCAGACAGGTGAATTGTTATTAGGAATGTAAACTACACTACACCAGACAGGTGAATTGTTATTAGGAATGTAAACTACACTACACCAGACAGGTGAATTGTTATTAGGAATGTAAACTACACTACACCAGACAAGTAAATTGTTATTAGGAATGTATACTACTCTACACCAGACAAGTAAATTGTTGTTAGGAATTTAAATTACACCACACCAGACAGGTAAATTGTTATTAGGAATGTAAACTATACTACACCAGACAGGTGAATTGTTATTAGGAATGTAAACTACACTACACCAGACAGGTGAATTGTTATTTTGTTACTAGGAATGTAAACTACACTACACCAGACAGGTGAATTGTTATTTTGTTACTAGGAATGTAAACTACACTACACCAGGCAAGTACATTTTTACTAGGAATGTAAACTACACTACACTAGAAAAAGAGCACTTACAGTTATAGAAGATTAAAGAAATGGTTATATGAACATGTACAAAAACATTTGTCATTTTTTGTGAAACTCTATTAAAAATTTATTTTACACCAATTGTATTGTCAGTGGCATAGAAAGATCATTTTGGGTACCAAACTTGTACATTAATTAAACATTAAGCCCAATTTTGCTAAGTAGCTGTTTTCAGATGGGATACTTGTGATATAGTTAAAATGTAATATCTTTAATAAGAGTGGATGAAAGGTAATGTGAACCAGCCTTAATTGTATGAGAATTTAATGTTAACATGGAACTTTTAATACAACTTTTCCAGCGTAAATGAAGAAGAAAAGACACGGGAAAATATATCTGAAATATATGAGAAGAACATTGAGCACCACAGTTCAGATGATTTCCACACAGATTCTGACAAAGCACAGCTTGCCGAAGTTGGAGAAGCAGAGCGGTCTTCAGAAGCTCCTCAACCAGAGCCAGACGTCATGCCTTCTTTTGATGAGTGGAAGAGAATGATGTTAGCAGAACAAGAGAGAGGAGGTATTGGTTTAATGAATCTCCAATAACAACCAAATGATAATAAGTATAGTTTTTTTTAGACTGCTGAGGGAAATGATTGTAGTGATTTTTGAGTTGAGAGCACTAGTAAGACTGAAATGTCGGTAATTTTCTATCACCTGTGATGTTTCTAATTGTTAGAAATTCAGTTCTCATTTGAAACAAAGATATTTTCATAAAATGTAGATTGTTTACTGTTACTTCTGATATTATACACGTCCTATGAATTGGCTACTTGTTCTTATATTTTTAGGCATGGAATCTTCACAAGACATGGTTCCAGGTAAAAAACTTGCTGACCACAAGAGAAAACAAAATTATGCATCATATGAATGCGGAGCAAAAGTTGTAGGGGCCAATCCTGAAGCGGAAGGAAAGGGCCGAATCTTGAATGACATGACTGATGAATACATGTTAAACCCATGCAATGTGAAGATCTGGTTTGTGATGGAGCTGTGTGAATCCATTCAAGTCAACCAGGTTAGTCTTAGGTCTGTAACAAAGATTCAGTTTATGGTAGCTTTGTGCGAATTCATTCAAATCAACCAGGTTAGTCTTAGATCTGTAACAAAGATCCAGTTTATGGTAGCTTTGTGCGAATCCAGTCAAGTCAACCAGGTTAGTCTTAGATCTGTAACAAAGATCCAGTTTATGGTAGTTTTGTGCGACTCCATTCAAGTCAACCAGGTTAGTCTTAGATCTACAACAACCATTCAGTTAATGGTAGCTTTGTGCGAATCCATTCAAGTCAACCAGGTTAGTCTTGGATCTGTAACAAAGATTCAGTTTATGGTAGCTTTGTGCGAATTCATTCAAATCAACCAGGTTAGTCTTAGGTCTGTAACAAAGATCCAGTTTATGGTAGTTTTGTGCGACTCCATTCAAGTCAACCAGGTTGGTCTTAGATCTGTAACAAAGATTCAGTTTATGGTAGCTTTGTGCGAATCCATTCAAGTCAACCAGGTTAGTCTTAGGTCTGTAACAAAGATTCAGTTTATGATAGCTTTGTGCGAATCCATTCAAGTCAACCAGGTTAGTCTTAGATCTGTAACAAAGATTCAGTTTATGGTAGCTTTGTGTGACTCCATTCAAGTCAACCAGGTTAGTCTTAGATCTGTAACAAAGATTCAGTTTATGGTAGCTTTATGTGACTCCATTCAAGTCAACCAGGTTAGTCTTAGATCTGTAACAAAGATCCAGTTTATGGTAGTTTTGTGCAACTCCATTCAAGTCAACCAGGTTAGTCTTAGATCTACAACACACATTCAGTTAATGGTAGTTTTGTGTAAGATTTACTAGTCAACCAGGTTAGTCTTAGATCTGTAACAAAGATTCAGTTTATGGTAGCTTTATGCGAATCCATTCAAGTCAACCAGGTTAGTCTTAGATCTACAACACACATTCAGTTAATGGTAGTTTTGTGTAAGATTTACTAGTCAACCAGGTTAGTCTTGGATCTGTAACAAAGATTCAGTTTATGGTAGCTTTGTGTAAGTTTCTCAAGCTAATCAGGTTAGTCCTAACTCTATAACAGAGATCTGGTGTATGAAGGTTTTGCGTTAGTGCATTAAAATTAATCAGTTAAGTGTTGGACTATATCAGAGACCTTGTTTGTGTCAGAACTGTTTGAGTTCAGAGTAACCAGGTGTATCTTAGACGTGTTTAGTTTGTATTAACCAGGTATATTTTAAATGTATAGTATCTGTCTTTTATCTTGTTAGCTTTAGAAGCACAACATTTACTGTTTCAGTCTCTGATGTAATTAATTTTAATTTCATAAGGAATAAGGATTCAAACCTTTGGTCTTAACAACTCTACTCTGGGTATTTCAGTATTGTAAGTTCAGTGTTAGCTTCCAGGATTTTTAAGGTTGGCTATCAACAGGATTTTGACCTTGTATAATGTTTTGTATTTTCTTCACAGATTGAACTAGCCAATTTTGAGTTGTTCTCATCGATGCCAAAAGAATTCTCTGTGTATTGGAGTGACAGATATCCCACTAGAGAATGGACTTTGGTTGGAAACTATGAAGCTGAAAATAGGCGAGTTCTACAAAGTTTTCCTCTCCAGCAGACTGGATATGGAAAGTTTATTAAGGTAGGCTATAGCTGTAATACAAGTAACAAGCCCTACATGTTGAACTCTGTGCCTAATATTGCTAAACTGATAATGCACTGGATTACTCAGATAGAACTCCACAGTCAGAACACTACTGTCCACTCAACATCATAAGAATGTGATGTGGATTTTTTAAAGTCATTCCAAACTTGTGTTTTGTACTGTATTACATAGATAGAACTCCACAGTCAGTATGGGACAGAACACTAGTGTCCACTCACATTCTTATGAATGCTGACGTGGATTTTTTAAAGTCGTTCCAAACTTGTGTTTTGTACTGTATTACATAGATAGAACTCCACAGTCAGTATGGGACAGAACATTAGTGTCCACTCAGCATCATAAGAATGTGATGTGGATTTTTTAAAGTCGTTCCAAACTTGTGTTTTGTACTGTATTACATAGATAGAACTCCACAGTCAGTATGGGACAGAACACTAGTGTTCACTCAGCATCATAAGAATGTGGTGTGGATTTTTTAAAGTTGTTCCAAACTTGTGTTTTGTACTGTATTACATAGATAGAACTCAACAGTCAGTATGGGACAGAACACTAGTGTTCATTCAGCATCATAAGAATGTGATGTGGATTTTTTAAAGTCGTTCCAAACTTGTGTTTTGTACTGTATTACATAGATAGAACTCCACAGTCAGTATGGGACAGAACACTAGTGTTCACTC